CTCATATATAAATAATAGCATGGTCGACTGGCAAGTATAGTTCGACATTCCAACATCTCTTCTTCTTCTTCTCTTTTCTGCTACTTCGGCTACAGTAGTTCAGCTTTCAGTTATAAAATATATTCTCTTTTCCAATGAAACAACTTTGATTAGTATTTGCCATGTTGTAGTTAGGTTCTTTTACACAGTTTCAGTTCTTGGTCTCTAGTTAAGGGATAAAATTGTAATCATTTATAAAGTGTTAATTTATGGAAATGATGCACTGACTCTTCTGAATATTGTTTATCATCCTCTTCATTTGTATTGATTTGCTCATTGAATAATAATAACAGCTTTATGAAGTCTTCACAAGTAATTTTGCTCTCTTTTTCTATGGCTAAATCTTAAATGGTTAAACCTGGACTCAAGTATTGAATTTAGGATCTATTTGGATTATTTTCAGCAGAATAATTTCTCCACTGAGCCATCTTTGAGCCCTAGAATGTTGGAGAACTGACTTCAAGCTGAAGCTTTAAATATTTTATAGAGTAGAGTTATGGACTTTGGAGGATCAAGGAATATACGTCTGTAGAATGAGGATAACTGAGATCAAGATTTTGAAGTGATGATAAGCAAAACTAAAAATGTTAAAATAAGATACGAGTGTGTTTAAGGGAAACTTTGAATAGATTGAATAGGTTACAAATTCAAGAAGAATTTACAAAGATGGTTTGGTCATGTGCAACGGAGTTAAAACATGACCTCACTAAGGAGGGATTCGGTGCAATTTGAAGGATTGAAGAGAAGGGAAAGCGGCAATGACTTGGATTGATGTAGTGGAAAAGGATTCAAATATTTATGCTTGTAATAGAACATGAAACCATGGATAGAATAAAATATCAATAGGATTTATGTAGATCAAGAAAGTATTTGCTATAGGTTCGGTTTCTGTTGCTGGTAGTGGTGATGATGATGATGGGGCTGCTGGTAATCAACCATATCAAAATATGAAAGGACTATAGTTTGTTTTTCATTATCTTGCATTTGCGTTTGGTAAGAGGACTATTCCTGTAAAAATTGGTGATTTAACTTGGAGATGAAAAACAATAAAAATAAAAAAAAAATCTTTTACAACTCCCTTGCAGGACTTTGGTAAGATAGGTATCACAGGAATAAGATTTGGAAGTTCTCTATGTATTTTTTCTCAGCATCCAAAACTTATAATAATCAAAGTTGATATTGTTCACAGTATTTTTAATCCTTCATATCATGAATATTACTTTGTTCAAAACCATTTTTCCACTTTATAATATATTTTTTGTTCTCATGTCAAAATCAAAAGTAGTCTTTTTTATGATGGGGCTTCTGGTAATCAATCAACCATATCAAAATATGAAAGGACTGTAGTTTATTTTTCAATATCTTGCATTTGTGTTTGGTAAGAGGACTATTCCTGTAAAAATTAGTGATTTAACTTGGAGATGAAAAACAATAAAAATTTTAAAAAAAATCTTTTACAACTCTCTTGCAGGACTTTGGTAAGATAGGTATTGCAGGAATAAGATTTGGAAGTGCTCTATGTATTTTTTCTCAGCATCCAAAACTTATAATAGTCAAAGTTGATATTTTTCACAGTATTTTTAATCCTTCATATCATGAATATTACTTTGTTCAAAACTATTTTTCCACTTCATATTCTTTATTTTGTTCTCATGTCAAAATCAAAAGTAGTCTTTTTTTTTTTCCGGTGAAGAATCAAAAGTAGCATTCTGAAACTGAAAATTGCAAATATGACAGAATGATACTCAGCGAGGTTTTAATACATAAGCTTCTTCAGCAGTCAATGTTTCAAGATATATGTTAACATGGTACTATTCCAAGGCAGAAAACCTTAGATGTCAGTACATGAAAGAAACTATTTATTGTGGGCATATTGGAATTGAAATATTTGTCAGCATGTTCGATTATGTAGTTGTGTTCCATAAAGGCCTATATCAATCTGGTATATAGTGCACAAGCAAGCATTTTCATCTATGTCATCTTAAAAATATGATTTAACAAATGTAAGGAGGTATTCTGAAATTATCTTATAGAATCAATGTCAGAACATGGAATATCCTTTCTGATCCCTTAAGTTATTCCTGTTCCTATTCTATTTTCTATCTGATACCTGTTCCGGAGAGAAAAAAATGTCCCTCTCATAAAAAGAGTCATAATTTCCAATCTCCACCTGCACAAATTGGCATTATGAATATGAATTAACATATTTCCAAATAGTTTTCTGCTCGATTACTTCGGCATGCTCTAAACTAAGTATGGAAATAAATCTCAAAAGGTGGTCTGAATGTAACTTCATATGGCTAACAGGATTATAGTTTCTAACCATCATGGCTCCTGCTTCAACAGCAGCAGGAAATGCTTCTGGATCTACTGAAGAAACACAGATCTGCAAAAGAAAAATATTCAATTATAAAGAAGAGACATTGGGAGTTCATTTCTGAAAAATGCGGTGACCTTATCAAGAATTTGGCATCTCATTCCATGGAGTAAATGAGTAATAGGATGCTTCTGGCATGTTAAATAATGCATCAATTCATGAAAGACCAACCTCTGAAAGTCAAAGTTGCTATAAGATTCACGCAGGGAAGGGAACAGAAATTTTAAAATTTATGCATGTCCAAGCATGGTGCATGCTATTGTTCTTGGGATTCATAAATAATATGACAAAAAATGTATCTAGAAAACATACAGATACTATAGATTTAGTCTTCAGTCCATTTGCACATTTAAAATAACATATTAGACATAACCGATATTATCTCACAGGTTTAACTTGGTATCTGTGTGAAAGCTCTCGGAACTCATGGGGAATGGAGTTCAAAAACATCTGATAAATCTTTATACGTTGATTAAAATGGCTGAGCAACATTGCCTGAACTTAAGTTATCTTGGAGACATTGGGTGGCTGCTTCAAAAATTTTGCTTCACTTCTATTTCATCTGTTAAATCTAAGTTTTGGGGACTGCTTTCTACTGAACATCATATAGTGGAAGAAATGATTATGATAAGCATAATTCTTATGTACAAGAAGTTTAGGTTCCAGACTTCCAGTTGGTCAGAGTTCACTTTAAAGATGGAGCATTTACCGGAAGAGAAGTCAAGTTAACAGCAAGCTTTACCAACTCAGGGTCACAGGCTATATCAACATGAGTTGCTCCCCCCTGTCACATGCCCCATATGGTTAGAATTATTACAAATAAACAGAATTTCATACGAAATAGAAAAAAAAAATTTGCCCTTAGCTGTCATTCTTTCTAAATGGATAATCAATAAGCTTTTTAATCCTGAGAACATGGAAGATCTGGTTTTCTAGACCATCAAATTGATCCCAGAGGATATCTTATAAGTAAACTAAACCTTATCTGCGGCAGTAACAACAGATGCAACATTATCTCTATCAAAATTCTGCAAGCCTGCAATGATCTGTCAAGAAACATAAAATGGTGTAAAAATCTTTGATAAATTAAAAAAATGGAAAGTACCAAGTATTTACTATATGGATTTGTGATACTTAACCAGTTAGCCTTTCATTCACCAGTGAATAAGTAGAATGAGGAAAAAACGGTTCAGTTGCATGACCAACTGTAGATGATGGATGAAATTTTGATATCTGGGACTGCCCTTGTTGTTATTTTTTCTTTTATTTCAAGCAACTTCAAAAAAGAAAGCTAATATAATATAGCTTCAGAAGAGCAGAGAGAGAGAGAGAGAGAGATAAGTGTAGTGGTTTCTACCTTGAGAGCTCGTCGTTCATGAAAATCCTTCAAGACTGATTCTTTAGTAGATGAAAGCAAAGCTCTTGTAGTCAAAGAAACTCTCTTAACATGGGAACGGGGATTTGAATTTGAAGGAAGGGCGGTACCCAGCAGAGGATTCCGACCGACTTTCAGAAGGGTGTGAGAAGTGGAGGAAATGGGGGTGCAGAGTGATGAAGGACCCATCTCTCAATCTCTCTCTGCCTTCTCAGTTCTCTCACTCTGATTTGGAGTAATGGATAAGAAGTTGGCAGCTTATAACAGTCTCGGAAGATATTTTCCTAGATTTTTCCAGGCTTTTACTGCTTCTCATCGTTACAACGGTTAGCACAGGTAACGGCGTTATCTTTTGTTACAGTTTGATTCTTTTACTGTCCGTTTGGTGGAAGTATTGGAGACCGGATCTGCTCCTCACAGGCGCCTCATACGCACATCTTAAAAACATCTCCCCTAGCCTGTGAGATGCCCATTTGTGAAGAGCAAATCCCATTACGAAGTGAAGTATTGCCTGACTGTCTTATCACGTGGACAAAATCCTATGTCCGTTTTGGAATGGTTGAATTGAAGGTCGCTTAGGGTTGGAAAATGTGAAACAAAATAAACATTAGGTTCATGAAAATTATATATATGATACTACAAGCAACCTACTGTAACTCCATATACATTCTAAAGGTGACGGAATCTGCTCCTCACAAATAGATGCTTCACAGGCACATCCACCATGCACCAGAAACATCTCTCGTGAATAATAACTAATAAGTACGGGAGATGTTCCCGATGTATGATAGGATGTGCATGTGGAGCAGATCCGGTCTCATTCTAAAGAGCTCCACACAAGCCACCCCTTACAACTTAATATTTAATTATTTATCTTTGTTTTTTTATGTAAACACGGATTAGTGTAAGACAGTAAAAACTTTGGTCTATATTTGTTGACATTTGTTTTGAATATAGTTTTATATCTAAAATCAATGTAAATTTTATTTATGGTAGAGTTTTACATCAATAAAGGTAATATTGATAAAATTGATTGATGTATTATTATGCCTTTTCACTTTTTTGGATAAGTATTATGCCTTTTCACTTTTTAATGGTTTACTCATTTAAACCAACCAGTGTTGAAGTCAATGATGTAGTTTTACGTCAACAAATGTTTACACTGAAAACAAATGGATATAGGATTTTGGAATGGTTTAAGGTCGTTGGTTCCTCAACTATGTTACAAAATCTGATATTTAAACTCCCCAGTCTCCTTCTTCAGCTACGAAACTTACTTTAAACATTCCATGTAGTAATAAAATGATTCTCTCTACTAATAGAGGAATAATTCCTAATAATTTAATTTTTTGGTGGTATTTGTCTAACTCTCTTTCCTTCGTAGAGATAGCAACGGGGTAGGTTTAGAAAGGTTTTTGTAAACTTTAACTTCTATCTGTCTTCTTAAACCTTCCAACTTGTACCTGCCCCAGGACTTATAGCAGGTTGGATTTTTAGAATCTACCTCCCTGCATATGAAAATGTGCAAAACCCTTTCTGACCCTACCCTCCCCATAGGGTAGGTCAGGTTGGGTTTAGAGCCCATATCTAATTTCCTATGGTTTCTTGTTATATATAAGCAATAAATAAGTAAAATAACATGAATACACCAAAATTTTAAATTATTTTATTAAAATATATAAAAATACATAAACTATCAATTATCCTTCACATAAAATTCAAATATTATTAAATTCAATATCTAATACATCGAGTTCGTATTCTTTTTAACAATATCCAAGACCTATACCCACCCCAAAATCCATCCGTCAAGCAAATAAACCTACCCTGTGAGGACAGGTACGGGGTACCCACCGAGTAGGGAAGAAATTTCCACCCCTACTCCTTTGTTGGTGCATTTAGTGGAAGATCTACATCTTCAGGATCAGTTGAAGAGGCTGAAATACGAGCTGCTCTTCAACATTCTTCTAGCTACTTATGGTATCTTGACTCCATTATTCTACTAAATGCTCTACAATCAGACTCACCTCTTCCTTGGTCTCTTGAATTTTTTGGAACTTAAAAATTTTGTTATCTCAGTTTTCTTCTATCTTCTTTTGTTATGTACATAGACAGTTTAAGTGCTTAACTTGCTAGTGCACCAACTATCCCAAACTGCCAAATCTTCTGATCTTGACTTCTGCTAAACCAGCTTGGGTAGCTAATGTCCTAGATATTGTAAATTTTCACTCTTATAATATAATTATTTTGCTTATCAAAAAAAAAAAAAAGAAAGAAAAGACCCAACACTACCCACAACAAATTGGTGAGATCCTCCATAGACTTTTTCTTTGACATGAAGATTCTACTATTTCTTTCAAACCATAGTCGAAAAGATAGCTATAGGCACCAGAGCCCATATTTTCTTGCCATTAGAACTCAGTGATCCTCTAACTCTCTAAGATTGTTACAAATGTAAACCAATGGAAATAAGGATGATTTGAGAATCTTGAAAGTGGATTAAAAAATGCCTTTAAAACCTAGAAGGCAGGTTCAGGGAAGGTCTAGGAAAATAGCTAAGTCTGAGAGAATGTTAGAACACTAAGGCTATGTTTGGTTTGAAGGAAAAGGTAGGGAAAGGAAGGGAAAGACAGGGTAACCTATACAAGGTTTGTAAAGGTTTCCTTACTTTTCCTTTCCTTTCCCTAAATTTTCCTTCAAACCAAACATAACCTAAGGGATTGCAGAGGATTTAGCTAAGGAAGAATGCGAGAGTGTTCGAATGTCCCCAATGCCTTGCTATGCATGGCAATACAAGGATTCGGATATTCTCAGTCCTAACCCTTGCTGAATTCAAACTTAAGTCTCTACCTTGATTGAGCTTGAACCTAACATTATTTTGATGAACTGAACTCAAATAGCTAGGTATTCAGCTCAACTTGGCTCAAACCCACCCCCCTACATGTCAATACAGTTACTAGGTATAGCCAAACGTGATTTTCTTGGGATGTCAATCACGCATTTGACATTCTCAAAGCAGCTTCAAGTGCTAAGGCCCTATCCAGGCCTCACGAGGTCAGATGTGCTTATGAAGTCGTGTCTTTGGGTTTGAGCCTCGTGAGGTTAAATAAGGCTTATTGTCCTTTAGATGCTATTTCAACCTTGCTATTTCAACCAAGCTCGACTTGATAATATATTATATAGCAAAAAAAAATATTTTATATAATAAAAATATGCATATAATATGCTTTTTCTTTGTTCCTCTTCTAGTTTTTCAGTCCATTGTGAAATCTTTTATTATTTTTAGATTTTTAGGTCTTTTAATATGAATAAAATAATTTTTATTGAAAAAAAAATATTTTTTTTTTGAGTTTTCTAGTCAAGCTTTGGACTTGAGTCCAAGCTTAGGGCTTTATGAGGACTAGGCTCGGACTTGATTGTATTTTGTTAATATAGATACAAAGCCTGGCCCAAACCCAACCCAGCCCGACCTGTGAACGGGTCTACCCCTTAGGTATTGGGTACCCTAAGGCCTAAGGTCAAAACCCAAACCCTATAGGGTTTTAATAAACAGGCCCTATAAGGGTCGGGATGGGTGAGGTACCCTAAAATTCACATGAAATTGCTATCCCTAATCCGTTTAGTACATCATTTGGATAATTTAGATTAGATTAGAAGGCATTTAAGTACATTTGGATAGTTATAGTTGAAATTAATTGATTGATCTTGGGAGGCGGTTTTGATGGTTTAGATCTTGGGTTTTATTTGGTGATCAAGTTTTAAAAAATTTAGTAACTTGAATTAATAGCTAAGCTTTTGGTAAGTAAACTCATGGTTTTAATGAAAAAAAAATAAAATAAAAAAACGATCAAAACCTGTTGAACAGGTCGACTGTTCGACCGTCCGGATCAACAGGTCATTGACTGATTCAACGGTTTTTGGCCAGGGACCGGATTTGTAGTAAAATGAAACCAGTTGCCTAGACAGTTCCCGGGCTGAATAGTTCGACTGTCCGAGTATAAATCAATAAATTGGCCTAGAATTTTTATGTCAAAATTGGCCCAGAATTTTTATGTCAAAGCATAGAATTTTTGGCATCCAAGTTATAGTTCGAAGTTATAACCTGTTTTCTTCTTGCCTTTCTTGATTTATTGCAATATAGGTCAATAAACTGGAATAAAATCAACTGGTTGCATCCTGAGAGCCAATATTGGTAGGATCTTTGACTTGTTGTGTTCCATACACCTGGAATCAAATCTTGCTATCACCAGGGTTATGGGGTTAAGGGGATGGGGAACGGGCTACCTCTGTCCTCCATTGTGTAGTCCCATGTAAAAAAAAAAAAAACACTTTGAAGAGGTCAAGTTATCCCAAGCATGAATAAATAGAAACTACTTAGTAGTCTGTACTAAAAAGGCAATTACCCAATGTTCATCCCAGCTACCCAGCTATCTAGGTAAACCAGATGCAGTCCTAGACTTCAGCATTTCTTTTTTCGCACAAATTGACTTCTCTCAAATTTGAACCTGCATGTAGTAGTCTGTACTAGACACACAATATATATGGGTTAGCTGCATTATACAAGTAGAGGAAAAAATATCGATATAATAATACAAAATCCATGCTATTAATAAAGGGTGCAAGAGAATTTAACTGAAAGGCCCCTATCAGGTTCCCAACTTCCCATATATCATTCTTGCTTGGAAGAAAGTAACCTACAAAGAAAAGGAGTGGGTCAATTGCAGATACAATTCAAAGCTGTAAACAACCTAAATTTTACAACCCACCTACTTCAAGAGGTTCTTATTTAATTTCAAAACTATATTCATACTGAGATCCTTGCTTGACAAATATATGGAACAAAATAGTCTGGACTTTGTCTTCTCTTTACTTTTGCTAGCCAAACTTTTGGGTGGGGATGGGAAAGATGGAGACAGGATTGAATCCCAGTTCAGTGGTAAGTACATCTACATTCACTGATTTAATAATCTGAGCCAGCTGGTACCTTTTGAGAAAATAGAGAAAAAAGATGTACTATGATAATGATATAACATGATTCATGAGCTTTGGTTGTCTCTGGATGATGGATCAGACAGTTTGTATAACTCTGGTAAGGCATGGTCAAATGTCCAAACCAACAACAACATATGAAATATGTAAAACAACTAGAAGTAGAAATGCAGAACTGACCGGAAATCATTACTCGCCAAATTTTGGGCCTCAGACACAGCATCATGCATAACCCACTAAAAATATATGAGCTACAACAGTATCTAAATGCCTAAGTTTCATCCACAGACTCCAAACAAGCCTTTTCCCTTTTCTGTTTGTCTCCATGGTCTTCAACCTCTATACATGGAAGTATGGAACCCTCTATTCTTGATCATTATAGGTGAGATTGAAGGAAAAACACAATGGTGTAGAAAGAAAATTCAGTGAAACAGAAAAAGTAGAATGCTCTCAAATTGGGAAACGCTGGGTATTGAAAATCTTAAAGAAATCTGTAAACCTAATTCTCTGAAACTTCTTCAGCTGTCCATTTCCTTAGACCCTTTGATTAGTTCCAAGTAGTCCATCTCACCTTCAAATATCTTCAGTAATCTGTAAACCTAATTCTCCAAAACTTTCAGCTTTCCATCTCCTCAGACCCTTTGATTAGTTCCAAATACCATCTCACCTTCAAATATCTTCAGAAGCTCTGGAATTTCCTTCTGGTATCTAATTACAAACTTGTTCATGAAACGACTCTTACTCAACAAGAGAGCTTGAACCACGCTGACATCCTTGTTAATGAGTCCCTTTGATAGCAAAACTTGTATGACTGAATACCATGGAATCATCCTCTTCTCCAAGCTAAAACAGAGAAGCATTGGGTGCCTGGCAATGAATGAAGGTTCCAAACCCATTTTGTTCGTCAGAAAGCCCATCCCTCTTTCTATCTTCTTCTCTGAAAGCACCAAGCAAAGATATTGTCTTTTTATCATTGAGGTAATATCGTCTTCAGACCAACCACACTTCTTAAAGGTATCCAATTTCTTTTCATCGTTGATTCGCTAGCCCATGTCATTACATACACTGAACGAGCAAAAGCTAATTTTGAAGGGTCTATTCCGAGGTCCTTAATTTTTTTGGCAGCCTTCTTGAACAGACCAGTTTGCGTCAAAAATGACTGAGGGTGAGCCTTTACAGTGCTCGAGATGAATCTTTCCGGCACACCATGTTCACGAAGGATCGTGGTGTTGTTGTCCATACCCTTCTGCATAGATGATCCAAAAGTCCAACTCAAGCGTTTGAGAACGGTGACGACATTGTTGTTTGTGTGAACTGTGAACTACCTTAAGATACTCGAAACAAGGTATAATTTGGTTTTCTAAGCTATATGCCAATAAACCCGACTGTCGACAGAGAATCGTTGGAAGGTCAGGTGGAGAAAACCCTACAGAATATAAGAACGCGAATTTGGGCTTAAGGATTTTCTCCGGATCAATTAAGAGAAGCGTTGGCCGATTTCTGATGAGTTTAGAGATTTGGGCATTGGTAAATCCGTAATCTCTGAGGAAGGTGAGGACTGAGTCCGGTTTCTCTGAGGTTTCAAATTGGACCGACTTGGATACAGATACGGCGGTTTCGATCATAAATGTTTAATTTTTGTATTTTATATGATAAATAAATTGAAAAAAAGCATCAATACATAGACAATAATTCAATTTTTAAATAGTTAAAAAGTATTTATTTTAAATATTAAAATAGTTTAAATAATAAAAAAGAGTTGAGAAGGAGAACTATCAGACTTGTGCTAGAATTAATATTAAAAATTAAAAATTAAAAATTTAAAAATTATTAAAAGATTAAATAAAATAAGAGTAATTGGACCAATGTAACATAAGTGCATTACACTAAAACCTTACCACAAACTATTTACACTATAGTGTGGACCAACCACGAGAAAATATTGTGGATAATAAGGGAGTATTCTGTAGTGTGGATGAGAAATTAGTGGGTGTGGATTAGTCCACACCACACCCTGAGACCAATCCACACCACACCACAGTTTATAATTGTTCTGAATTGTGGACAAACTATGTGGAATGGACTAGTCTACACCCATAGTGGCATTCTGTAACGTGGTGTGAACCAGTCCACACTACACTTTTTTGAGTCCATATATCTCATATACATTTTATGAATGATATACACAGTTAATTATAAATATCTAAATTTTGCATTTTATATGATAAATATTTTGAAAAATGCATCAATGAATAAATATTAATTTTTTACAAAACAATAGTAAAATAATTAAATTACCCTGCTTGAGCTTGACCCCCTTAGACCCCCAATTAACCAAATTACCCTTGAATTTCCAAAATTATCAAATTACCCATAGACTTCTCTGAAGTTACCAAACTACCCTTATCCCTATTATCAAAACTGACCAAACTTTCTAATTTAACCTAATTCAAAGGAGGCGCTATTCATTGTCTTCCTCCTTAGATGAGAACAATGTGGTGGTGGCAACCAAAACCTCCTCCATTCTCTCTCTCTCTCTCTCTCTCTCTCTCTCTACTCTTCGACCATAGAGGAGACTTAGCCATAGCATCCACCTAGCCTTCCTTCCATTTTCTTTGCGAATTCACACTATTTTTTTCTCCCATCCTCTATCATCTACACCGACTCCCTTCACCATTCTCGGCCTCCTCCAACTATTTACAGACCCCCCTATTTTCTTCCATTGGTTGAGTAAAACTAAAGTTGTTGGTCATCACTTGAATCGTTTATTAAGGTATTAGATAAGAGTCACACTCGAAAGAAAGCCCCCTCTCACTCACTTCTTAGTTGCAAGCACCGATCATTACGATTACCGTAGCTCAAAGAAGAAGGGAGTCAAATTGGGGTGTGGTCCATCCACGAGATGAATGCGGTGCCGAACATTGCCTAAATTGGGGTGTGGCCCATCCCTATCTATGCTATTTTGTGGACAAGGACCATACACACATAGAAAAACACCATATCTTATCGTGGATAGGAACAAAACGGCCCTGTCCATGATATTTACACACTATCGAACGCTACCTAAATAAACGTTTGTATTTCATTTGTGTAGAGAACACTGATGTGGTTCCCACTGTGTTCGTATGGCAGTATATTTCTGTTAGTTATGTCAGTGTTAGTTAGTAGTTATTTCAATTTGTTATTTCTTTATTATTATTTTATTTGCCATGTAAGCAATAAGGGCAATTCARCCCTTTTGCAATTAGTCAATATATATATATATAGACCAACCCTCTCTCTTTTCAAGATCTCTTCGTGCTTCTCTTCTCTCCTCTCTTCTGCAATTTCTTCATTCTTTTTCTTTTAAACTTAAGACTGATTGCAGTCTTGATCGACTACTTGGTATCAAAGCCGACCTAGGAGTTCTTATGTTAGTCTAATTAGATTGACTACATGAGAATCTCCTAGGTTTAGAAGTTTTTCAACAAAGAAGGAGGATCGGGTGATTCTTGGAGGTTATTGGTAGTGTGCGGCTGCTACTAAAAAGATTATAGAAGGCTGGGAGAGTTCCAGTAGTCAGGAAGAATCAGAGAAGGCTTCAAATCCTCAGGATTAGGGTTTTGCATCAGACAAAAGGTGGCAGGCAGAGATTTTCTTTTATAAAGTAAGCTTTTTCTTGAGAATAACTTTGAAAAAATCATCTTAGTTTATTCTGTGAGGTGCGGTTGGAAAATCTGTGTTTTTTCTTTTAGGGTTTTGGGAGAAAACCCTAAAATTCAGAACTGTTGTTGCTTTCAGATTAGATTGTTGAACTGGTTTCAGTTAGAACTCTGTTTTCTTTATTCTTTGGAAGACCAAGGCCGACTGTTATCAGTTGTTTGGGTGCTGTTTTTTCTATTACATTAGTTAGAAAGGGGTTTTTCTATTAATTCTTGATCAAGAATGGAGTTCAAGAATCAGGGGGAAGGTGTTATTGGGACTAGCAATTTTGGTAGCATGTTTGAAAATGCCTTTCAGATTACAACTGTGAAGTTTGATGGATCAAACTACTTAGAATGGGCTCAATCGGCCATGATGGCCATTAGAGGTAGAGGAAAATTGAGCTATTTGTTGGAAGATGTGGAAGAACCAACTAAGGAGGACCAAACTTATACCAAATGGGTTCAAGAGAACTATTTGGTTATGACATGGCTATGCAACTCTATGCAGCCACATATCACCCGAAACTATTTGTAGGCAAAAACAACAAAAGGAAATCTGGGATGTCATGAAAGAGACTTCCTCCCAACCTCTTAGCGTTGCTAGGGCTTATGAATTGAAGTGTGAGGTCAACAACCTTAATCAATGAGAGAAACTAGTTTCAGTTTACTTCTCTACCTTGAAATCTCTGTGGCATGAAATTGACCACCTAGAAACACTTTAGTGCAAAAGTCAGAATGATGCACAGACTCATAGAAAGCAAATTGAAACTAATAGGATTTTTGAGTTTCTAGCTGGTTTGAATCCTAACTATGATATTGTGAGACAACTACTAACAAGGGATAGTGTGACCCTATCTCAAGCCTACTCCTTAGTGCATAGTGAAGAGACTAGGAGAAACGTTATGATGTAGCATCAGTCCTTCCCACCAGCCTTGGCAGCAGTTAAACCTAAGTCTGGGGGTGATACAAAGAGGAATATAAAGAAGGAAGGCAAGCGGGATCTAGTATATGAACATTGCAAGAAGCCTAAGCATACTAAAGACACATGTTGGAAGCTGCACTCTCATCTAGTTCCAACAAAAGTCAGGAACAAAAGGGGTAATGCTAATATGGCTGTTAATACTGATTGTGCATCCTCATCGGGCACAAAAAGGCACACATCTAGATACCTTAACTGTTGTTTGGGCTGCCCTGACTTAGTTGGAAAAGAAAGTTGGTAGTTCAGCTTAGTCATCTCAGCCATCATAAGCTCCTCCCACATAAGCTTTTGCTCATTCAAGTACTCGGGCCTCAACTTATCATACTTCGGCTCCAAGTAACACTGAACATTGTTGGGTAATAAGCTCAGGTGCATCTGACCATATGACTGGCTTGTCATCACTGTTCACTACCTATCATTTATCTTCTAGCAGAGATAAAGTGTCCATTGCTGATGGTTCCCTTGTTCCCATTTTTAGCAAATGAGACATCAAGTTGTCTAATACCATTTTCTTATCTTCAGTTCTACATGTTTGTAAGCTTAATACTAACTTGCTTTTAGTTAGTAGCATTACAAAACATCAGAATTGTTCAGTAACTTTTTTCCCTGACCGATGTGTTTTTCAAGACTTGGAGACAAAGAAGGTGATTGGGACTGGCTGTGAGACAAATGTGATCTATCTACTTAGAGAGAGTTCTCATTGGGAAGATAGTAAAGATAGAAAGTCTTTTGTTTCTCAGTCTGTTAGTCAGGTTATGCTTTGGTATAATCGGTTGGGTCATTTATCCTTTCGGTCTTTGAAGAGTTTGTTTCCTAATTTATTTGAGTTTCTTCAAATGCCCAATTTGAGATGTGAGAGTTGTGAGCTTGCAAAGCATTGTAGAACATCTTATTCATTGAGTAATAAAAGAAGAGTAATTTTTTTGATATTGTGCATACCAATATTTGGGGCCCGTATCATATTATTGCTATGGGGGGATACAAATATTTTTTGTTGTTTGTTGATGACTATACTCATTTTTCTTGGGTTTACCTTATACGTTCTCGAGATGAGGTTCATGCTTTGACCCAGATCTTTCATCAGATGATTTTAACCCAATTTGGAGTCAAAATCAAAATCTTCATATCCGATAATGCGAAAGAATACTTTTCTAACTCATTAGCCTCTTATTTTCTTAATCATGAGATTATTCACCAGAGTACTTGTTCTTATACACCACAGCAGAATGGGGTTGCTGAGAGGAATAATAGGCACATATTGGAGGTGGCTAGAAGCATTATGTTTAACTCCAATGTGCCTATTCGTTTATGGGGAGATGCTATTCTTACAGCAATGTATCTCATTAATCGAGTTCCTTCACGGGTTCTTGACATGAAGCCTCCATTTACCCTTCTATACCTTGATAAAGAATTATTTACTATTCCCCTTAAAACCTTTGGTTGCACTTGTTTTTTTCAGATTCTTGGACCTCATCGTTCCAAATTTAATCCTAAGGCCTCCAAATGTATTTTTCTCAGTTATGCACAAACTCAAAAGGGTTATTGTTGCTATGAACCTACTTCTAGGAGGAGGTTTGTCCCTCTGGATGTTACTTTCTTTGAGGATGTACTCTATTATCCTAGGGTTTCTCCTCAGAGGGAGAGTAGTGAGAGTGGGGTTAACTCATCAGAAGTTCCTTTACCTGTTCCATTGAGTGATGAGGGATGCAATGGGGAGGGTTGTTAGAGGTGTTAGGATTTGAGAGTCTATTACAGGCAGTGGAGCCAGGTTGATTTCAGTCATCAACAGTCTAGGATAGTCCTAGTTTCTTCTATGGATCCAGATCCAGGTACCACAGTTCCTTTATTAGATCCAAGTCCCACTGAGATACCTTCCACTGTTGCACCCTTACCTCCTTTGGATGACCTTGACCTCCCCATTGTAGTCCGTAAAGGCAAACGACATTGTACTACATCCACAACT